TCACAGAGCCGAAATTTCTGTGTTTTGAAAATAATTTCTTAGAGGGTATCTTAAATTCCATGCACTCATTCCTCCAGTGTGTGGGTGTGGGTGCACCATGGCGTACCTGTGGAGGTCAGAGGACGACTTTTAGCGGTCTTTTCTCTTTCCACCACGCTGGTTCCAGGGACCAAACTCAGGACTTCAGGTTTAGCACCAAGCGCCTTTACACATGGAACCCCATCTCCCAACCCCAAAATAATTTCTTATCTTTTTATAATGTATTTATTTGTATTTTATAAACATCTGTATTTTGCCTGCATGAATGTCTGTGTGAAGGTGTTGAATCCCCTGGAACTGGAGTTACAGACAGTTGTAAGCTGCCATGTGGGTGCTGGGAATTGAACCCAGGTCCTCTGGAAGAGCAGGCAATGCTCTTAACCACTGAGCCATTTCTCCAGCCCCACCCCAACCCCCTCAAAAAAATAATTTCTTTTTCTTATCAAAGGATAAAGATTTAGTGGTCTGACAGCCCCACCCCTTTCAGCCGCTACTACAGAAAGAACCCCTCCCCCAAAAAGACGTTATGGCAAGCCTTCCCTCCTGCTGTCCCTGTTTCCTTCCCTGTCTTTCTCACTCTTCTTGAGACAGCGTCTCACGTAGACCAGGCTGGCCTCTATGTAGCCAAGTCTGGCTTTGAACTCATGTTCCCCCTGTCTGTGCCTCCCAATGTCTGCGTCTCCCCATGCCTGGCTTTCCCCTTTGCAGTTCGAACATGAGAGGAAGTGCCACCCGGGTCCTAGACAGACAGTGAGGCCGGGCCCTGCAGTCAGGACGGCCTGAGGGAGCAGCCGGTGCTTGCAGGGTGAGGATGACGACATGACAGACGTGGGAGGACAGAGTGACAAAGCGGGGAAACCTGTGTGTCCAGAATATGGACGGCACAGGCCACCCGATGTCACAGCTTCAGAGAGGGGGTTTTCAGTTCACAAGGGCTTTGCAGGTGGGAAAGGCTGGCCAAACACAAACCAGAGGCCTTCGCTTTGTGGACGCATGGTTTACCTACCATGCAGGTCACCCCTCTTAGAGTTTGTTTGGCTTGTCAGTGACGCAACAAGCCCCCCAGTCAATTTCAGAACACTTTCATCACCCACAAAGGAGCCTCCTACTCTTTAGCTGTTGCCTCCAATTTCCTGTTCCCCCAAGTCCCCAGAAGTCACGGATCCACTTTTCAGTCTCTTCAGATGAGCATGTTTAACACGACATGATCCTTCACAGTTAACATAAAAGGAGACTTGCAATGTGTGTACTAATTTGCACCTGGCTTCTTTCCCTCAGCATGATGTTATCCAGGTTCACCAGGATGTCGCATGACCAGTTATTTTTTTTTTTTAATGGTTGAATAATATTCTACTGGGTAGATACAGCATATGTGTTTATCCATTCATTTGATGACAGACATCTGGGTTGTTTTTACTTTGAACTATTATGAATAGTGCTTCCGTGAACATTCCTGTCCATTTAAAAAATTGTTTTAACACGGAAAAAATTGAGCACGTGATACAGGATGATGTTACAAACCCTCGAGTCCTATTTGATTGCAGCATTGACCAAGGGCACGCCACCCCAGCCCTAACCTTGCGTTGTTGCTGTAGAAGGCTTTAAAAAATAACTTAGGGCTGGAGATGTGACTCCGTCCGTCCGTAGACTGCTGCCTAGCAGGCAGGAGGTGGGTTTGATCTCCAGCACCGCATAAACCCTGCCCTCAGTTCTCGGGGCTCTTAGCCTGCTCTCAGGTAGGCAGCGGCAGAGCAGAGAATCTCCCAGTGAGGAGTGCGAATCAGGGTCACAGCTTTGTCAACCCTGAGACAGGAGCTGCCGATGTCTCTGCAGTCCGGTGACCCACTCCAGGGCTCGCTTCCATGTGGCCTTTCTGGGTGGAATTTCGCAAGAAGGGAAAAGGCTTCAGGCCAAAGCTAGTCTGATCCACACTCTCCCCATCCCCCTCCACTCTGGTCCCAGATATCATCTGGCCAGTGTGTGACTTTCTTGGACCTGCTGTACAGTGGAAGAGACATCGCCTCCCCGTTGGCACAGCGCGCTCTTGGAGTCAGAGCTCTGGAGCCTTCTGAAACCCCAGGAGGCTGTTGCAGAAGAGGGCTGCCCTACATCGTGTGTTCTAGTCCCCTAAGGTCTGGGTGGCATTCGCAATAGGCCCCAAGAGTCTGAAAACACCATCAAGGTGCACACAGGTGTCCCCCACTCCCCCATGGCCATGTCCACATTGCATCTGGTCAGAAGAGGAGGCAGACACACCCCTTTCCTCCGGGGTGGGACTTGGAGGTGACACACATCTTATTAGCCCTCCTCTGTGGATCAGAACTCAGTCACACAGCCTTGCCTAGGAGCAAAGGAGACTGGGAAATGCAGGCTTGCTCTCAGGAGACGCCACATGTAGGCAAGGAACGGAGAGCCAGAGGCAGAGTCAAGAGGAGAGGATAGAGAGTCGTCTCTGGCAACAACTGGGTGACATAAAATGACAGGGTGCTTGTCTAGAGTACAGGAGACCCCCAGTCCGACCCCAGCACCACCACAAAGGAAAAGAACAGGGAAACTGTGCCCTGCCTGAGACCAAGGCTGGGGCTAGAGAGCCACCATGTCACAAGGTTCTGTTGGCTGGGGAGGGACGTCTGTGGCGTCCTGGGCTTGCAGAGGTCTGGGCGGGGCCTGCACCGAGTCCCATGTCTAGGCTCACCTGCTCTGCTCTCCGGAGGTGTGTTCTCCTGAGGCACAGACGCCCTCCTTCCCAGCTCCCCCTCTGCTCCCCTGTGCCATCTGCCCACTGCCCTCACCCCTGCTCTGGTGCTACCCTACATCATTCAGATTCCTGTCTTATGTCATCAATCTCTGAACAATCTTAGATCTTGGGGCTCCCCCGGCTTTCCCAAACAGGGCTACTTGACTGTTGGCTGTTGGGGGGTGACGTGTGAATGTCTTTTCTATTTGAGGATTTACCTCGTCAGTTCTAAGTGTGAGCGCCACCCTCATTTTACGTGGGATTGTGTTTAGACGGGTTAGAGGTAGAACATACCTGGGTTTCCAAACTGGTTCCCAGGAGTCCCAGCGAAGAGACACTCCTGTGGCTCCATCTGGCACAGCTGCTCTTGTTAACTCATAAGGGACCAGGAGGCCTTCCTACAATGTCTTCTTTTAAGATTTCTTTATTTTATTCTCTGTGTGTGCCCACATGTATGTCTGTGTTCCACATGTGTGCAGATGCCTCAGAGGCTAGAAGAGAAGTCCAGGTCCCCTGAAATCAGAGTTACAGCCAGCTGTGTGTCTCCTGATGTGGATGCTGGGAGCTGAACTCAGGGCCTATGCAAGAACCCCAGTGTGCTCTTAATTGGCTGTGTGTGTGTGTGTGTGTGTGTGTGTGTGTGTGTGTGTGTGTGTGAAAGGCAGGGTTTTCCACAGTGTCTGATGATTTGGAGAAGAGACTGGCCTGGCCTGGGAAGGGGGCCATGGGCCTGGGAGCCTTCACTGAAGATATAACTTGGGTCTGGCTCTCTAAAGACTTCCTTTCCCCAGGGCTTGTCTGAGCCCATGGGTGCTGGTCAATGAACTCCAGGAAGGCAGATCCCCAAGACCCTGTGAAGGGGTACAGGGTCCTCCTGGCATGCACAGGGAACAGGGTGGGGGGAAGTAGGGGGGCAGTGCTGAGATGGAGGACATCTCCTTGACAGAGGCGGCCAGCTGTGACGGAATAAACCTGCCCTGTGGGCCCTCAGGGCTGGGAGGCCAGCTCCTCTGTCTGCCACCTGCGTGCCCCGGGGTACATTACCAGGTGAGCCTCAGTCTGTTCTGTAGAGGAGACAGCTCTGCTGCTCCCATGAAAGCAGCGTGGCGAGGACTTGAACTCAGAGCCCAGCTCAGCGGCAGGCACGGAAGAGGCTCCACGAAGGGTACCCCTGCCGAGGCGATCACACAGGGGTAGGGCAGGACCCCGCAGAGGCGATCACACAGGGGTAGGACAGGACCCCGCAGAGGCGATCACACAGGGGTAGGGCAGGACCCCGCTGAGGCAATCGGCCTGAGAGGGGCTTATTGAAACGGATGGAAGGAGGCCTGACTGTGGGAGCCTCGGACAGCCAGGCGCTCCTGCCAGTAGCAGAACTGACTCATATCATGGCCGAGAGTGAGGGTGAGGCCATGACGGGCAGGAGGCCTGGCCTTGCTCTGAGGAGGTGCCTGACTAGAGAGATTCCCAGCTGAAGGGGTGTGGGAGGCACCCTACCACACACACAGCCCCACATCACCTGGGGTAAGGTGTTCTGGTTTCATCTAGGGTCCCCCAGTCAGGCAGGAGGGTTATGGATGGGACCAGGGTGGAGTTCTACCTTGAGAACACAAACTTCAAAGATGACAGAGAGAATCAGGGGGGGTGATGGCCCTGAGGCATTGAATGCGTTTCCAGAGAACTTTCTAGACATATTTACTCCTTCTCTGTGTTAATACAGGATGAGCCGTAAGACTCTTCCACAGGATGAATGCCTGGAGAGTGTGCCTGGATTCTCCGGAAGAGGTGCACAGGGGTGGGGCACACCTCAAACTCGTGTCCAAAGGCAAGGAAAGAGGTGTGTGGACGTGTGGCTGGAAATCTAGGTTATGAGCCTGTTCCCCACAGCAACTGACTATCTGAATTCCATTTGGTTGTTTTTGAGACTGAATCTCGCTGTGTAGCTGTGGCGGTTTGAAAGAAAATGACCCCCAAAGGGAGCGGCACCAATGGGAGGTGTGGCCTTGTTGGAGGAAGTGTGTCACCGAGGAGGTGGGCTTTGAGGTCTCATATATGCTCAAGCCATGCCCAGTGAGACAGACCACTTCCTGTTGCCTGTGAGTCAAGATGTAGGACTCTCAGCTACCCCTCCAGCACCGTGTCTGCCTGCACGCCGCCATGTCTTACTATGATGATAATGGACTGAACGTCTGAAACTGTAAGCCGCCACCTCAATTAAATGTTTTCCTTTATAAGAGTTGCCATGGTCATGGTGTCTCTTCACAGCAATAGAAACCCTAACTGAGACAGTAGCCTAGGCTGGCCGCAAATTCACTGGATAGCCCAGGCTGGCTTCAAACTCATAGTAATCCTGCTGCATCAGTTTCTTGAGTAGGGTTACAGGTGTGAACCACCATGCCATACTTTAGTGTAGCTTTTTAAAACAATCCTACTAAGCAGGGTTTTTAAAAATTACATTTGTGTGTGTGTGTGTGTGTGTGTGTGTGTGTGTGTGTGTGTGTGTGTCTGCATGCGTGTATCAGAGGTCAACTTGTGAGTGTCCCTTCTCTCCTTCACCATATGGGTCCTGGAGATCCCACTCACGTCCCCAGGCTTAGTGGCAGGGGTCTACCTGTTAAGCCGTCTTGCTGGCCCCGATCTAAGCTTTTGAACTCCATTTTCTAGAACAGTGAGGTTAGGAAAGGGTCTGCACGGTGGACTGTCACCACCGGGGAAGCCCAGCTCTTGTCCTGCTTTGTCATGAGCACTACACAGGTCTAGAGCGTTTGCTCTTGGCTGAGTATGTCCAGGTGGAGTGTGAGTTTTCCTGTAAGGTCTAATTCTGCTAACATACGATGCGCGGCTCAGAGTGGGTGTCCACCCACTTACCCACCCACCCATCCATCCATCTCCCCACACACAACCTTACCCACCAGCTCACTTGGCCATCCATCTGTCTACCCATCCACTCAGCTTCAACCTTCTCCTGGGCTGGACTTCCTCCCTGTAAAAAGAGACAAATGGTGTCTGGGCTGGTGTTTGTGTATGAGGGGCTGCCTGTCAGTGCATATGTGTGCAGGCACACATGCATTTGTGTGCACCTGTGCGTGTGTGTGGGGGGGGTCAGGAGTCAACCTCACGTGTCTTTCCTCGAGAGCCGTCCGCCTGTCTTTTTAAGTCTCTCACACAGGGAACTGGGGCTCTCCGGTCAGGCTAGACTGACTGGCTAGTGAGCCTCAGGGGTCCAGCCAACCCTCCCACCCCAGCACTGGGGTTACGGTGCACACCAGTATACCCAGCTTTTATACCAGTTCTGGGGACCAAACCTGGGCTCTCATGCCTTCCCGGCAAACATTTTAGCCCCGATCCATTCTCCCTGCATCTAGTACTTTTGACCTAGGATCTTAGAACTGCCCATTTCCAGGAATGTTGTGGGGTTCCCTTACCTTAGATGGGACCAGGCAGTGTCACGGGGTTCAAGACCAATCCGGCTTCAACCCTTACCAGCCATGTATTCGTTGTCTGATATACTCAGTTTCCACTTTAGAGATGCCTGGCACAAAGCCTCCTCTGGCTGAAAATTGGCAGTACCAGAGGGTCCCCATAGGCTTCCCACCAGTAACAGTGTCGCTTTGAAGCAAGATGCCTCTGCAGTGTGTGGCACATGAACCAGGGTCACCGGCCCTAGGGTCTGACTGTCACTATGAAGAAAAACAGACGAAGGTGGGAAAGCCTGTTTGGGTGAGCTCCTTCCGTTAAGATGATAATACAGTTATTATTAGAATATGGTTAGATAGTCAGGACAGACCCCTGGGAAAACACAGCTGGGATTTCTGCCTGCAATTGGGAGCCAGACAGGAGTCTCAGGCTTGCAGGTTCCCTGTGCAGGGACTCTGAGCCTTGCCAGGGCTTCCCTGGGAATTTGCTCACCCGTGCCTCCCCAGAGACCACCTCACCTCATCTTCCCCTGAGCAGTCATCTCCATGCAAGGGAGAGCTGGCTGGCCAACTGTGATTGGCTAAGATGGAGGCTGTTGCTAGGTTACCAGTCCACTGAGACTGGGTGGCGTGTGCATGTGTGCGCAACCCCATCCTCCATCCTAGGTCCATCCCACACAGCAGGCCTGATTCTTGCACACCCAGGAACGGGATCCAGCCACTTAAAGGGCCTGCCTCCAGTGCCCTTTCCGTCTGTATGGGGGAAGGGAGACAGGCCTGTGTTTTAACTCTGGAGTCATCCTGAACAGCTGTTTGTCTTTTGGGCCTCAATATCCCTTTTTGATTTTTTTTTTTTTTTTTTGGTTTTTCGAGACAGGGTTTCTCTGTGTAGTTTTGGTGCCTGTCCTGGAACTCACTTGGCAGCCCAGGCTGGCCTCGAACTCATAGAGATCCACCTGGCTCTGTCTCCTGAGTGCTGGGATTAAAGGTGTGCGCCACCATCACCCTGCTGCCCCTTTTTGATTTCTTGAGTTCACTAATTTATTCATTATTTATGTATGCATTCAATTAATTAAGTGTCTACCTGGATTTCAGACACTGTATCAAATACTTCTTTTCTTCCCCTTCAGTGATTTTTCTAGGCCCCCATTTTTTTTCTAACTAAGCCTCTAGCCCTCCTCCATAAAAGAGGCCTGTTGCCGGATTGGCCCTGTGCCTCCGCAGACCATGGGAACAGCCTATCAGCTATGTCCATCTGTTTGGTTTTTTTTTTTTTTTAATTTTATTTTAAATGGTTTTATTTTCATGCGTTTGGGTGTTTAAAATGTCTGCATATGTGTCTGTGTACCACATGTGTGAAGTACTCATGGAGACCACAAGAGGGCCTCAGATCCCCTGGAACTGGAGTTCCAGGTGGTACCAAGTCACCGTGTGGGTGCTGGGTATTGAATCTGGGTCCTCTGAAAGAACAACCAATGTTGTTAAGCACTATGCTCTTAAGCACTGAGGCATCTCTCTAACCCCTGTTTGTCACATCTGGACCAGAATGACCTTGTTCAGTGGAAGCCATGTGGGCAATTATTCCGGCATACCCAATACTGTCTGTATGCAGGGAGCTTTCAGACTATCTTTGGACTCAATAAAGTAGAGAGAGGACAGAGAGGAGACAGACGTGGCACACAGGCAAATGGCGGTTTATAAAGGTAAAGGGGGAAACCACGCATTAGAATGAGGTGTTTAATGTTAATTAGGGGAGCCAAAGGGGGCTTTTGATGCTGGACTTCAATACTTTGACAGCTGGACCTTGGTCGTCAGCCTCAGGAGGAGGAAGAGGCCAAATAAGGGACTAGACCTTGGTGACTAGCTTTAGGAATGTAATCTAACAGTTTTTAACCAAGGCCGAGGGAATGGGGGGGGGGGGGAGGCAAGGTCTGCCAGAGCCACACGCTCGAGTGGACTAGTGTCCCTTCATAACCAACTTTCTATTTTTTTTAAAATTATGTGTGTGTGTGTGCGCACACGTGTTCATGCATGATCATGGGAGAACACATGGACGTGTGCTTTGCGGAGGTCAGCAGACAATTTCCACGAATTAATTCTCTCCTCTATGGGTCCCAGGGAGAGACCTCAGGCTAAGTGGCAAGTGCCTTTGCCTGCAGAACCATCTCGCTGGACCCTTTCCCCTTATTTGATAGACAGTGAAATTGAGGTCGCATAAAGGTACTTAACTAACCAGTGATGCCCCAGATGGCTTGTGTGACCCTGGGATTTGAGCCAAAGCTGCTTGGCTTTGCGGTATACACATGTGTTGTAGAAGATGTTCAAGACCCCCCCCCCCAGCAGCTGAAACTCGGTGCTGCGGCTACACACTGCCATCCCCAGACTCCCCACCACAGCATCATAGTGCCTTCACATCCTGTTGAAGCTTCTTGCGCTTATGAAGCCTGAGATGACCACACTAGTCAACACAATTGATTCTCGGGGAACAGTACCCTCTCCTGTAATCTCATCCCTTGGGAGATGCAGGGAGGAGGATCAGGGTTGAAGGTCATTCTTGGCAATATAGTAAGTTGGAGGCCAGCCTGGGGTATATGAGATCGTATATCGTAATCGATTCTGCTGCCTGTCTGCCTGCGTGACCTCACAGCCGGGTTTTTGCTATGGAGTCAAGCAACAGTTTCTTCTCTCTCAACGATCTCACTGCTGAACAAACACGAGTGTCCACCACCGTCCTGGAGACTGGCTGGGTGGCGGAATGGTGGCCCTGGAGGATTTCCAGGCTATCTGAGAGGCTCCTGGAGGGTCTCTGCAAATTCGGCATCCTGACGAGAGGGGAGAACCGCCTCCTCAGAACAGAAGTAGATGCGGCTAGTGGGGACTAGGTGTGGGCAGCTAACCTGGAGCTGCTGAGCAGAGCACACGGAGCCCAAGACGCTACATTCACACCCGGTGTGGCTGTGGTTAGTGTAGAAACCATGACCAAAGGAGCCTGGCAGCCTGGAGATTGCCGCTACTTACGTCGGCCACACAAACACCTGACAAAAACACCAACTTAAGGAAGGAAGGGGCTTTGTAGGGCTCCCAGCGCGGTGCCGGTGCCATCCGTCGTGACTGGCAGGAGCTCCAGGCGGCTGCTCGGGAAGCAGAGGGAGCTGGACGCTGCCGCTCAGCCCCTTTCTCCTCAGGCAGCCCAGGACCCCAGCCCTCAGTGGCACTGCCCCATTCAGAGCAGGTCTTGCCTCCTCAATGCACTCAATCTAGAATGTCTCTGACACACATGGCCAGGAGTTTGTCTCCTAGGTGATTCTAGGTCCTTTCTAGTTGATGACAGTAACCATCCCAGAGGGTGGGGAAAGTGCTGGGAAATCAAGGGTGCATAAAGAAGACTCCAAACCCAGCAGCGGGCGGGTGGGGCTTAATCCACTCTCTGCTCTCTCTCTCTTCTCTCTTCTCTCTTCTCTCTTCTCTCTTCTCTCTTCTCTCTCTCTCTCTCTCTCTCTCTCT